GTCCCCCTGAATGAGCGCCCCGCCGATTATGATTCTGGGGAAGAGGCCGAATCCGGCTCTGACATGGAGGTGTATGATCTGGGCATCCCTACGGATATGGAGCGCCACATTTGTCCGATTAGGAGCGCCCTTGACCATGATCAAGTCCTTTCCCGCGTGGCTCTCAATAAAATCCGCACCTTCTTCCCCCCGCCGTTCGTCTGGAGCGTGAGAGGCGCTGAGCATGTGATGAGGAGACGTCCGGGGATGATCATGCTCCACTTGGACTCCGTCGAAGCCGGGCTGCGGTTTCCACTTCATTCATTCTATGTGGAGTTCTTCCACTGCTTCCAGGTGGCCCCGGCGCAATTCATGCCAAATTCTTATAGGTTTATATCAGCCTTCTTGGTGCGCTGCAAACTCGCCGGAGCCACTGCCACTCTGGACCTGTTCCACTACTTCTATCGCATCACCCCCCAGAACTCTGATGGTTATCTGAGCGTGGCCGCACGTCCCGGAAGGAGGCTGTTCAAGAGCTACCCTTCGTCTATCCATGATTGGAAGAATCGCTTCTTCTTCCTCCGATATGACGGCCCTCCTCTCCCGGTTCGGTGGAATGGCTACCCCCCAAAGATTGAGTCACCGGAGCTGACCGAAGATCTGATTTGGGACGTGGAGAAGGTGTTGGAGGGCGGCGTCTGCCCTATAGCCGGATATCTGACCCTCGAGGCACTCTCCGGGGCAGGCATAGGTACCGCCCGTGTCCCTGGACTCTTTCCACCCTTCGACGCTCGTCTCGGGGCACCGGGCGGTCCTGTCCTTCGAGGTGAGTGTCTTGTCCAATTTTCCGTCCGTCTCTTAACCTTTTATTGTTTCATGCAGGTTCTCCACCAAACGAAGCTCAGATGAATCACGCTGAGTGTTTGAAGACCAGGAAAGCCAAGGCGGCTGCCGCCAAGGCCGCGGCGGAGAAAGCCAGAAATGCCCGGGCCTCTGATTCTACTTCTTCGGCCTCCGATGCCGCTCGGCGCACGGCCGAAGGTGAGCAGCACCTGATTGCTACCGTGTTGGCTCAAGGGTCCGGACCCCCTGCTGCCTCTGCTGCTCTTCCACCGCCGGTCGTCCCTTCAAAGGCGGTTCCTCAAAAGGGGGAGGAAAAGGCCGCCCAGAAGAAGCACAAGAGGGGTCGCGAGGCTGCATCTACCGGGCCCCTTCTTGAAGACGCCGGCTCTCTGCCCTTGAGCCGTCCGGCGGAAGAACTCTGGAGGGAGCTGGCCCTCAAGGCTGGACTTGAGCTGCCCCCCCGTTCGTCTTCTGAGGCGACCAGCGCTGCTTTGGCAGCTGCTCTTCAGGTACTTCCCTCATCCCAGATCTAGGTATATCTCCCATTCTCTGTTCATCTCTTGATCATGTGTTCTGACCCTCTTCTATTGTTCAGTCTGGGCTCCTAGTTCTTCAGGCTGAAGCTGCCAGGGAGGCTAACCTGAGAGAGGTCAAGGCCAAAGCCGATGCCGCCGTTGCTACAGCCCGGGAGGCCGCTCGTCGAGCCGAAGCGGAGGCTGCGGCCAAGGAAAGGGAGATTGCAGTTCTGCAGGCCGAATCTCGCAGCCAGCTGGCCGGCCTTGAGAAAGCCGGCTTTAAGCTTGTCCCGGTGCTCCCTGCCGCTAAGGATGCCACTCCGGAGTGGCAAGTTGACACCTCCGGCTATAAGAACACCAGGGAGTTTATGGACTCTGCAAGAGATTACTGCGTCGGGGCCTTCGGCGACGTGTTTTCTGCGGCTCTGGCGAAGATACCGCCCCGGCAGCGTCTGGCGTGCGGCGTCCGTATTCTGGAGAGCTCTCCTCTGTCGCATAAGTTCCTCTATGAGGTCGGCGATAGCACCTTTGCCGCTGGCTAAAATGAGGGGGTTAAGGCCACCCTTCCCATTTTCTCGAGGCTGCAAGGGGCCGATTTCGAGCTGGCCGCGAATACAGACGACGATCTGCTGCTTCAAGCTCTAGGGAAGCTGGGGAGGGACCAGCGTCGAGAGGAGGACAAAGCCCGAGGGGATATTCCGGAACCACAGACCCCCGAGCCCGAAGCTGAAGAGGAGGAGCAGATCCCGGGAGACAGCCGTCCTGAGTCCCCCTTTATGGTGTAATGTAATTCATACTCCTTTCCATCTTGAACTTGTAATGCCCAGCCGTTAGAGCTGAAGAATATACATGCTTTTGCCCACAATTGTCTCTACGTTCGTGATCTTTTACTTCATTATTTTCCTTTCCTTTATCGTCCGTTGTGTGGAATCTCCTTCGGTGTCTCGCTGTACTTTTGAGGCAAAGTTAAAGCCTGCGGGGACATTCATATATGTTCCTCATTTGTTTAGGACAACGGGCGCCCCCTTTCCATGCCCTGATACGTATTCGAATTGCGCGGACGTACTGCGAGAGTTTGTCTTCGGGTGGCGACGCTCGGCGCCGATGCTTGCCTGCTGGCAAGGAGTGGATTCCCCAAGTATGAAGGTACGAACGTATCGTATGGCATTCGTATTCTGACATCGTCGTCCACCCTTTAAGTGAGGGCGTATGACCAACCATTGCCTGTAGTCAATTCCAATCCCGTAAGACGACGTTCGTCGGTGGCTGCCTCAGTGGCAAACCCCTTAAGTATGGGGGTACGAACGTACTCCCCAGAACCAGCACACGATAGAGACGTTCATCTGTCATATGCGCAAACGCAAATATCCATGTCTCGTGATTACTGCTCTACCCAAACTTCGCGGGGAGACGTTCGTCTGGTCTAAATGTCCTTGTGGCGGGGAAAGACGGACGTAGCCTGTTGCGTATACCTCCCATTAGCTGCCGATATTAGGCACAGCCGATAGTCGCGATCTCCGGGCATCTCTCGATCCCTTGGAGCTGGTAACCCCCCCCCCCCCCCCTTTGGGGCGTTCGTGGCATCGATCCATGTTTCCTCGCTGTGATTATGAGGTGATGGAATCGAGGCACCTTTAATACCGCGGTAAGTACCGGTATCTGGGCGCCACGTGTCCTACTTCGGTTGGCGCGATTCCACGGTGCTGCCTATAAGTACCCAGAAACCATGTGATTCATTCACACTTCTCCTTACGCTGCACAATTGCTTCCTCTCTCTAGATTTCCTACAAGCCGTGTTGAGCCTCGAACTTCCAAGGTACCGTTCGTTGCCATGTCTTCTGAAAACCGTTTCGACGATGGCTGTTCTTCCGGCGATGACTTGGAATATTATGAGCGGGGAATGCCGCCTCGGACTCCCCGTTACAGCCTCAGTTTCTCGTTGAGGTATTGGTCTCCTTGAGGTATTGGTCTCCTTGAGGTACGTTCTACCACAGCAATATCTTCTCAAGATCATATAGGAATGGAGGTGGCAAAAATCTATCTCGGGGCCTTTTCTTCAACCCATCCGAATTCCAAGTGGTCACAATTCATCCACTGATAGTAACTCGCAAACTTTCTTTCTGTTTTCAATAAAATTGTCATACCCTCAAAGGCAAGCAATTCCCAAACAGACCTTTTTCTCCTCAAAATAGGTATTAACATTAAATACATTATCCAGTTTATCCTCCCACTCCACCAAGCATTTCCCAGGTCCTCCCTCTCCAGCACAGTGTGAAGTCCAAGTCTCAGAGTCGCGACCCACTCATCTCAAGGTTGTACAAAACGTCCCATTCAAGCCTTCAAGGAAAGGTGTAAGTGTTCCTGCGGTGGTGCTGGGAATGTGAGATTCCATCAGAACTAGAAGAGTCCTCATCCTCACCCAAGAATCTTTGTTCACCCCTATGTATAATGACATTAAGGCATTGATCTATATGTTGATGGGTCATGTTCAAGTCGTGCATGTTAATGCGTATTTCATTTATTGAAGTAATGAGATCTGACAATCTGACATGGGGAAATTCATTGGTTGCCCCACTTTGGGTAACTGTTGATATTTTAAATTAAGAAAAATAGGAAAAGATCAACACTAACAAAAGACATTAAGTTGGTAATACCGTAATAAACAAACCCCTAAACTGCCTTCAAAAAAATAGGAAAAGATCAACACTAACAAAAGACATCAAGTTAATAATAAACAACCCCCCCCCCCCCCCCAAACTGCTTCTCCCCACAAAATCCTCACGGTTAACCCTCTCTATTTCGAATGAATATAAAGTATGTAGGGTATTCTCCACTCGCTTACAAAATAATCTCACAAGCCTTTTCAAGTGGACAAGCAGATAGGCTTGAATATTGGAAAAAGAAACATGGTTGTCTATTTTAGGGATGAGAACAATAAGTGAGCTAGACATAGCTCGGGGAATCCTAATACAACAACGACATCCAAGCCTTATTCCTAAAAGATTTTGGGGTCAACTAATATGAATCGATCCATGACATCGGAGGCAAAAAAAGAAGAAAGATAAGAAGAATAAAAAAATAAACTAAGATAAAATGGATAAGATAAAGATAAATATAAAATAAGAATGACAAAAGAACATAAGAAAGATAAAAGAGCATAAAATATATAAAAGATAAAAGTAACATCAGAACAATAGAATGATAAAGAAGATAAAAGATAAGAAAAAGAGAGAAGAGAGAAAAGAGATCAATCTTCCACCTAAATATGCTCTCCATTTTGCTCTCTCCAAAGCCATACTCTCATCCTATCCAAGAAGAAGCATATCCGTTCTGATTCCTCTAATCCCAGTTTCGGTCTTCCTCTCCCTCCCCTCCCCGCCTCTTCTCCCCACCTCTCAAGTCGTATAACAGGTGCATCACTCGGTCTTCTGCGCACATGACCAAACAACCGCAATCGAGACTTCTACATCTTATCTTATATAGGTGTTACTCCTACCTACTTGTTTAATCTCAGAAAGCTTCAGAAAGAATTGAGAAAATGCAGCATAATATAATGATCTAGGCATTTGCTGACACTCGATCTTTTTATCAGTGTTTATATAAAGACCAAGACGCATGTCATTTTCCTTTCCTCGTGTAGCATTTTCAGGGATCCAAACATACCTGAATATAATCCACTGCAGATATAACTCGTGCTCGCTGAAGCTCAAGGGGCCACTGGTCATGAGCCTCATACTCATCATCCTTGTTTGATCGCTGCCATTCATCGAAATGAGACAGCATATCAACATCCATTGTAAAATTAAGTATGCCTTGTGCTGACTCAACAGTGTAGTTTAGTTCGAATGGAATCATTTTGACTCCTTTTGTCAAAAGTACATCAACAACCTGCAAGTGCAGTAATAAACTTGAGACAAATAAACCATGTTTCCGTGTATTTACTACACTGGAGAGCCTGACAATCCTACCCAAATCACTGAGTTAGCTACCCGACAGGTTTCCATTATGTTAATACCTTTATTGGTTTTTTAAATAACATCAAACCCAGTCTAGCCTTAGTCAGCTATCAGCGGATATCAAGCAGAAAGTGGATTGTGCTAAAAGGGTTATCGGTTAACAGATAGCAGATGTATAAGGCAAAATTGACAATTTACTATTCACTAATACTCCATCCATCCATCCATAAAAATCATGTTTCTAACAGTTCATTTTTTCAAAAACAGGAGTCCATCTTGATCAAGCATGTTCGTTTCCATGAAAGTTGTCAAAATTATTGCCGAAGAGTCCTTGACAAGTTACATATGAATTACTCACACTTACACATCAATTTTCAAAAAAATAAAAGTCTGATTGATGGTTTATGACAGTCGTAATTTCCAACCAAAATTTAAATGTTCTACATTGGTCAAGAAAGACACTTTTTTGGAGTGGAGGTAGTCAATTATTCATATTCAAAGTGATAAGATAATGGATTAGGGATTGTGAGTCAAAATATATAGAAACATGGTAATAAAGCACTCAGGCAGAAAAGGAGTGCCTGAATCTAGCAGGAGGAGAGTACCAACATTTCTACAGTGGTTTATAGATAACCAAATCAAATTTATTTATTTACCTCCATATCAGCATCCTTTAGATACCCAACAGTGAGCATCTTGACATCAACCAAAAATGGATCAGACAGTGGAATATCCCTGGACGACGGATCATTAGGGTCCTTACCCCGGATTGCATCCAAAATGATCGCACAATCTGCAGCATCTCGACAGAAAGGGCCTAATTTGTCCTATTGAATACACAGTGGCTTATATTTGATTTTTCCATCTCCAGTTCAAGGGCAAAAAAAAGATTGGATAGCTGAGTAGAATAGTGTAGAACGGTTAGTATACCAGGCTCTCGGATATGCTCATAACTCCAGTTCGACCGACCGATCCAAAAGAAGGACGAATGGCAGTGACACCACAACGGGAAGCAGGATAGGTAATGGACCCCGCTGTTTCTGAACCAATTGCAAATGGTACTAAACCTGAATGATGACAGTCAGTTGGAGGGCTTCCTTTTGACTTCAATATGGTGTTCTAAAACTCCCTGCCAAAGGCATTCCTTGATGGCGTCTAATTTTTTCTCTACTTCAGTCCCATCAGACTTGCCTAGTCTATTTATTTTTATAAATTTTTTAGGTTAGCAGATTTTTCACATTTGATATTTTGTGTCGATAACTTTCTATGCTCTAACAATTCCCATAAGCTGCCCATCTAGGCTGGCTAGGCTGGACCAGCCTTTCAAGTTCTAACTTAATAGACAGACTGATTATGATTTGACTACAAAAGACCAGCCCAAGCCCACTATTATGGGCTGGTTTAGCCCAGACCGTTACCGATCCCTATGCTAATGTTTTTGAGAATCCTATCTACATTGCTCGTGGTGCGCATTGGCGTCCCTGCACAGTGAGGATTCGGGGAAGGACCCTACCACAAGAGTGTATAAGTAGCAGGCCCTCCCTTGTCAAGTTTGACAAGAGGTCACTTCCAAGACTTGAACTTGCGACCTCTCTTCACACAGAAACACCGTACCCGGTAAGCCAAGGCGCCAAGGCGCCAAGACTATGTGCATTGAGAAGAATAAAACTTTGCCTCGAAGATACCTGCAGAGGTGCAAGCAGGACCCGGTGGAAAATTCATGAATATTCCATGGGTTTCTTGTCCTTCCACCGAACCAGATGTCATCGTATGCTAATGATCCTGTGACCAGCTTTGCTACAAGCACTGCCCCAGCAGATCTTAACCTATACTCACCAAGGATATATATGACAACTATGAGCAAAATAACATACCTTTATAAAGCTTTCTCTTAACACTTTATGTAGAAAATGTTACATTTATTTCTTAATTATTGTGTGTACATAATTACCGGATACATTAGATTAGAAGACTGATCTATTAAATCAGATTAGAAGCTGTTGCTTATTGATAAGATTGTAGTTAGTCAGATCCTAAAAAATAGGATCTACTCTGGTAGTTTGTTACTTGTACATCCTGTATTTATACCCCAGCCGATTGGCATATTCAATCAAGGAATTTTATTCCCAAAACCTACATGGTATCAGAGACTTGAATTTACACATCTCAAATGGTGGAATTCGAACACTCTGACTCATCTCCCTACTCACAAACCAGTAACCCTAACTCCCATATTAGCTCAATGGCAAACTATCAGGCCTCGGTTAATTCATCTATGCTCATCACTGGGCATAGATTGAATGGAAGGAATTACATAGAGTGGTCACAGTCTGTCAAGTTAGCAATTGATGGCAAGGGCAAACTGGGATACCTAACTGGTGAAATCAAAGAGAAAAAAAGTGGTGAAGATGGCTACAGTGTCTGGAGGTCAGAAAACTCACTTGTTACAGCATGGCTTCTCAGTTCAATGGATGCATCAATCGCCAAACCTCATGTTTATGAAAACTGCAAAAGAGGTATGGGACTCTATTAAGGAAACTTATTCAGACCTTGAAAACTCTTCTCAGATTTTTGAACTCAAAACCAAGTTGTGCCAGTCTAAACAAGGAAATAGGGATGTCATTTCATACTACAATGAAATGGTATATCTATGGCAAGAATTAGATCAATGCTATGAGGATGAAGAATGGGAAAGTGCCAAGGATCTGGCAAGACATAGGAAAAGAGAAGAGAATGATAGGGTCTATATGTTTCCAGCAGGAATTAATAGGGACCTGGATGAAGTAAAGGGCAGAATACTCGGAAAAAAACCTTTGGCTTCAATTAGAGAAGTTTTTTCTGAGACCAGGATGAAGACAGTAGGAAGAAGGTTATGTACAACACTCCAGTACATAATGAGGAACCTAGAGACTCTTCAGCAATGGTGGCCAGAAGTGATGACAAGAAAAAACCCTGGTGTGATCACTGTAAGAAATTATGGCACACTAGGGAGACTTGCTGGAAAATTCATGGGAAGCCTCCAGGAGCGGGAAAGAAGAAGGCTCTACAAGCAACTGTGACTGAAACTCAACAGGAGCCACAAATCAATTTCCAGCAGCCTTCCTTCACAGAGGAACAGATAGAGCAACTCCTTAGCCTTCTAAATACTCAGAAAAATTCCAAACCTGAAACTTCCTCTTGTTCTTATGCCCAGAATGGTACCATTTCATCATTTTTCTGTTCTGGAAAACCTAAAAGTACCTGGGTCATTGACTCAGGAGCTACAGACCATATGACTTCTATTCCAAATCTTTTCTTTTCATATAAGCCCTGTGCAGGGGACAAAAAGGTCAAAGTGGCAGATTGCTCTTTTTCAGCCATTGCAGGGATGGGAAATATTAAAATTTCCTCATCTGTAAACCTCTCTAAAGTCCTACATGTCCCTAATTTATCCTGCAATCTTGCCTCTGTTAGCCAGTTAACTAAAGACTTACAGTGTCGTGTTATCTTTTATCCTTCTTATTGCATTTTTCAGGACCTGGCATCGGGGAAGATGATTGGCAGTGCTAGGGAGGAAGATGGACTCTATATCTTTGATGAAGGAACTCAATCAAATAAAAGAGGTCAAAGAAATTTGCAAACTATTTCCTTTTCAAACAATAAAGAGTTGTATTTACTTCACTTTAGACTAGGACATCCCAGTTTTTATTATTTAAAAAAGATGTTTCCTCAATTATTTTTGAATAAAGATGTCTCTGTGTTTCATTGTGATATATGTGCACTTGCAAAACATCACAAAAGCTCTTATATTCCCCAGAGTTATAAACCCACTAGCCCTTTTACTTTGGTACATAGTGATATTTGGGGTCCATCTAGAGTATCAACTATAAAGGGAAAGAGATGGTTTGTAACTATTATTGATGATCATACATGGGTTTTTCTAATCAAAGAAAAATCTGAAGTGGAAAAGGTATTTAGGGATTTTTATGCTATGGTCCAAACTCAGTTCAATACCAACATTAAACTGGTAAGAAGTGATAATGGCTTGGAATATTTTTCTCAAAACCTAAATAACTTTTTTACTGAGAAAGGAATAATTCATCAAAGCTCTTGTGTCAATACACCAGCTCAGAATGGAATTGCAGAAAGGAAGAATAGACATTTACTTGAAGTCACTCGTGCAATCATGTTTTCAACAAAAATACCAAAATATCTGTGGGGGGGAAGCTGTTTTACATGCTACTTATTTAATTAACCGCATGCCATCAAAAATTTTAGGATTTAAAAGTCCTATCAATACTCTTCAGCAGTACTTTCCTTCAAACAGATTGATAAGTACTCTTCCACTGAAAATTTTTGGTTGCACAGTGTTTATAAAAAATCCAGAAAAATCTGCAAGTAAGTTTGATCCTAGAGGAACAAAATGTGTTTTTTTAGGTGTTTCTTCCACTCAAAAAGGGTATAAATGTTTTGACCCTACTACCAAAAAAATGTTTATTACAATGGACACTTTTTTTGTGGAAGATAAAGCTTTTTTTGATACTCATCTTCAGGGGGAGAGATTAAGTGAAGATGTTCAAATAGTGCCACATATTCATGAAAACCTTAATTTTCTTGATATTAATCTGGATGATCATTCCTTTAATGGAAGAACATCTGAAAATGATCAAGAATTAACAACTAATGAAATAAATACAACTGAACCAATTGGAAAGGATCAACAGACAAGTCAATTCTTTGGCAAAGTTTATGAGAGAAGAGTTCAAAATCAAAGAATAGAGGAAGTCCAAGAACCTACAACTGTCTATGATTCTGACCCTATGCCAGAGAATGAAAAAGGTAATGCTTCTAGTCATCTTGATCTTCCAATTTCCCTCGGTAAGGAAAGAAGAACATGTGTTAAATACCCCATCTCAAACCATGTTTCTTATTCTAAATTATCCTCATCTTTTGCAACCTTTACTTCCAGTGTTTCTTCTATTTCTATTCCCTCAACCATACAGGATGCTCTATCTAAACCTGAGTGGAAGAAAGCTGTTTTGGAGGAGATGGAAGCTCTTGAAAAGAATCAGACATGGAAGCTTGTAGAGTTGCCCAAAAGCAAACCAACAGTTGGTTGCAGGTGGATTTTCACTCCTAAATTTAAAGCAGATGGATGTTTGGAGAGATATAAAGCAAGGTTAGTAGCTAAGGGGTACACACAGACCTATGGCATTGACTACTCAGAAACCTTTGCACCAGTTGCAAAGTTGAACACTGTAAGAATTCTTTTATCTCTTGCTGCTAATTTGGACTGGCCACTGCAACAATTGGATGTAAAGAATGCTTTTTTAAATGGAAAACTTGAAGAAGAAGTATACATGAAACCTCCTCCTGGATTTGAGAATAAATTTGGTTCAAAGGTTTGCAAATTAGAGAAAGCCTTGTATGGACTTAAAAAGTCACCAAGAGCTTGGTTTGATAGGTTTACAAAGTTCATAAAGAAGCAAGGTTTTAATCAGGCTCAAGCATACACTATTCATGAAGTTTTCAGGCAAGGGGGAGATTGCAATATTAATTGTCTATGTAGATGATATTATCCTCACAGGAAATTATCATACAGAGACTAAGAACTTGAAAGAAAAACTTGCCCATGAATTTGAAGTTAAGGACCTAGGAGACCTAAAATACTTTCTGGGAATGGAGATGGCTAGATCAAAGAAGGGTATTGTTGTCTCACAAAGAAAGTATATCTTAGATCTTCTGCAGGAAACTGGAATGAGTGCATGCAAACCAGCAGACACTCCAATTGACCCCAGTCAGAAGTTGGGAGATATTAAGGAAGGAACTCCGGTTGATATTCACCAATATCAAAGATTGGTGGGAAGATTAATATATCTAGCACATACAAGGCCAGATATTGCATTTGCAGTAAGTATGGTGAGTCAGTTTATGCATCATCCTTTTCAAGAACATCTTGATGCTACTTACAGGATTCTAAGGTTCCTGAAGAGCTGTCCAGGGAAAGGATTGTTTTTCAAAAAGGGGAACAGTAGGAGGGTTGAAGCCTTTACTGATGCAGATTATGCTGGCTCAATTACTGATAGAAGGTCTACTTCTGGATATTGCACTTATGTATGGGGAAATCTAGTAACTTGGAGAAGTAAGAAACAAAATGTAGTTGCTAGAAGTAGTGCAGAATCAGAATTTAGATCTATGGCAAATGGAATATGTGAATTACTCTGGATCAAGAGAGTAATTACAGAACTGAAGATGGAAATAGAACTGCCTATGAGACTGTATTGTGATAATAAAGCAGCCATTAGCATTGCTCATAATCCTGTGCTACATGATAGAACCAAGCACATTGAAGATTGAAGTGGACAGACATTTCATTAAAGAGAAGATTGAAGCTGGAATTGTTTCCACACCATTCGTATCCACTAAAGACCAAACAGCTGATATCTTCACCAAAGGGTTATTTAAACCAGTGTTTGAACTACTTATAGACAAGTTGGGAATGTATGATATATATTCACCAACTTGAGGGGGAGTGTAGAAAATGTTACATTTATTTCTTAATTATTGTGTGTACATAATTACCGGATAGATTAGATTAGATCAGATTAGAAGCTGTTGCTTATTGATAAGATTGTAGTTAGTCAGATCCTAAAAAATAGGATCTGCTCTGGTAGTTTGTTACTTGTACATCCTGTATTTATACCCCAGCCGATTGGCATACTCAATCAAGGAATTTTATTCCCAAAACCTACACTTTAGGCACTAGTGCATGCTACAATAAAATACTGCAAAGATAAATGAGCAATCAAATGGAAGAAAGAGGAGTGATAGCTCATTGATTTTATTCTAATTTGATTTAATATCTTTATTAGTCGCTCTATTATAGGATGTGATTTGCTAGGATTTCCCTTTCCTTGTTTTAGAAATTTACATGCATGTGATCCCCAATTCAAAAGGCAGCTTTGCTATGAAAAAGAATTAAAAGAAAATCCAGGAGAGGAGAAGAAAAACTTCCCCAAATTCAAACGGACGAGGATAACTCCATAAAATCTACCGCCCCTTCATGTTTATCCTTATAATTCATTCCCGTGACGCAAAGAATCCCGGTATATAAACCTTTGGTTCCGTTGCTGGTGTCATGGGAAATTTCACAACACTTGCCACTGATCAGTACATGTTCCTTCCAGAGATACTGACAAGCAAAGGTCACAAGCTTCAAGATGCAGTGCAAAAGGTGCAGCAAGTACTGCAGCCATTATAGGAGTCGGTTCAGAAAATTTCTAACCAGATTGCCTTTCTAAGTCAGGCAATGAAGCACGCCCTTCTGTAAGCACTTCATCTACACTCTACTGAAGTTCTGCCTCAACTACCATCGGTGTGGCTTCCAACACAGCAACTCCAAGAGCCAACATTTTCCACAAAACCTATAAACATATAAAGCGGACTGCCTTGTCTGATAAACTTCCCAGAACAAACTACTTTTGCACTTTCCAGTTCCTTTTAGGTCCACTAAAAGCGTCCCAGTTTTCCAATGTATTCAAAGAGAATTTTTAATGGTTGTCGGTGCAATCATTCAATGTTCAAGATTTCAAGCTTGATGCCAAGCTTGATTTTCCAAGAGGGGTGCAATGGAGCATGCTAAAAAGGAAAGAGTAATTATGTAATAGATCTCCTAATTAAATCTAGGGAATCAGATTATGATCAGAGCAAATATTTTAATAATCAACTAAATATTTTAATATTTCTACACTTTCCCTCAAGCTGGTAAATGATATCTGGTGAATAGATATCTACCATTCCTAGCTTGCAAGTAAGTTCTCAAAATCGCTTTACCGGAAGTCCTTTGGTGACCACATCAGGCCCACTGAAGCCCCGAAGGAACTTATTGTATAGAAATAAGACCAATGTCCAGTTTTTCCTTGATGAAGTGTCAGTCTAGTTCTGTGTTTTGTTGTGTCGTGCTGAACTGGATTATGAGCAATACTAATAGCAGATTTATTATCACAGAAGAGTCTTGTCAAAGCTTTACACAGTATTTTTAGTCTCCCAAAATGATCTTCACCCATAACAATTCACAAACACCTTGAGCCAAGGCTCTGAGTTCTACTTCTGTACTTGATCTTGCAACTACACTCTGCTTCTTGCTCCTCCATGTCACCAAATTTTGGGATGAACTATGTTCAGTACTCAAAGCATTAAGGGATAAGAAGGTATAATGCTTATCAATCATTGTTAGAGAACAATTACCAGAAGGCATACTCAACGAGTCTATAGGCGCTCTTAGACGCTCAAATCTGCTTTGGTAAGGTTGGGGATATCTTCTTTTGGTGATATAGGTGAATTGCCTTCAATTTCCATGTTAGCAGTTGTGTGATTTGCACACCTCTGACTAACACTTTTGGATCCGCTCATCCATCCAAGAAATTTATCCCTTCTATGCAGTTTGAAACATGTATCCTTAATATGGCAAAAATTTGTACGGTGGCTGCACCATCGATCTTCACGATTGGGCTTCAAAAGAAGGGCCTCCCAAAGTGAATCCTTGTATGGAACCCTTTCGAGTGCCTAAGGCTCAACCATCAACTGATTGTTCTTCTATCATCAAAGTCCTACTTTTTTCACCACGAACGAAGTGAAAGACCTCCGAAAGAGATAATAGTTTCTTAATACTCAAAATTTGAACACTGATGGAGTTAATTTCTGAGTTAAGCCCAAAGAGAAACTTAAGTATCTGTCCTTTTTCAATAAACTGGGTCAGTGTAGTAGAGTTTTCATCACAATTCATTGTCAAACTTTGGTACTGATCTAAGTCGATCCATAGGCCATTTAGAGTGGACATAATAGTCAATCACAGAGAGATTTCCTACTTAGTATTAAAAACTTCTTTTCCAATTCATAACATGTTGAGAGATCTTGTTTCATGGAATATGTCTCTTCCGGATTCTTCTAAATGTCCCCAGCAATAGCAAAAACGATAAAATTACTACTTACATCCGGAGTCATAGAGTGCTAAAACCAGTCATGTTGAGACTCCTGAGAGAATCCACACCAACCCATGTTTCATATTGTGGATCTCTCTCAGCAGGGACTTTGCCTTCGCTGTGACTAATCCTCTTACGTCCTCTAAGAGTGGTACGAACAAGTTGGGCCCATTAAAGATAGTTGCGCCCATCTAACTGGTATGACCCTTGCAATATTGGGAGGTCATTGTGGGTCAACGATGGAAGAGAGGCATAGTGAAGAAAGAGAATACCACACTAGCAAAGTGGCATTTTCGAAGAAGGAAAAAATCACCTCTCGAACAGAACCTAGAGGAGCAGCTTTCTGGTAGTAATTTTGTTACAAGAACGACCTTTTATTGTGTGTGTGAACGGAAGCAGAGCCCCTAGAAACGTGAAGCTCTGATACCATCTTGAAGAATAGAATTTATTTCTCAAGTGTAAAATACAACAGGTAATTACATTTTATAGGCCTGGACTAAGTTAATAAAGCAAAAGTAATTATGTACAAGATCTCCTAATACTTACAAATCTTCTAATTGATTCTAAGAAATCAAAGTATGATAAGAACAAATCTTATAATAATCAATTAAATATTCTAATATCTCTACACTAAACTATAATATTATGGAAAGATAAAAGAGCAACTGAGTAGATGAATGAGGAGTGATAGATCATTGTTTTGCTTGATTGATTTTATTTTGATTTAATTTTAATACCTTCATTAGTTAATCTGATTTAGGAAGTGATTTGCTAGGATTTCTTTTTCCTGTTTTAGGCATTTACATGCATGCAATCCATGTTACGAAAAGAACCTGTGCTATGCAAATAAGATATCCAAGAAAGAAGGAAAAGAAATCCAAGGAGAAGGGAAACCCTCCAAACTCCAAAGGAGAAAGAAAACTCCCTTAAATTTCATCGCCCCTTCGCGTTTATCCTTTTGACGCAAAAAAATCCCCATGCATAACAAACACTTTCAGTTCTCAGTACCTTTTATAAACCCATGCTTCAATATCAAGAGTCTGATTAATATAAGTTTTGGATCCCCATGTTGTCTTGTACTGAGGGACTGAAATAATATCCTTCAAACCATAAGGAATCCCATGAAGAGCACCTGTCCCCGTGAAAAACCTTAAACCTATTACTCAACACTTGCAAAACAAATTACAGAGCATATTCAAAATGACACTATCTACATCCCTTTTTATTCTCTTGTTTTGACTAAGCATGTTTTTAGAAAATAGAAACCGTGTGGTTGCAAATTGTTTAGAGGAGAGACATAAGATCAAGTATAAACCTCTTTCCTTAAAGGGAGGGAAAATATAATCTAAAACGAACGAGAAAAAGAAAAGAATGAAGATAAAATGTGATTATTCTCGTGATACAACTAAAAATGGATAGATGAGCACTTCTACTAAGTATGAGATCATACGGAACCAAGTTCTTTTGTTTCCCCACATCGGCCCACCCCACCCACGAACCAAACATACGCTAAGACTATGTATGAAACTTGGGAAATGGTTGGGGAAGAATGTAACATATGAGCTAAGGAAAAGTGTTTTATGAAAAAATGACAAAAATATTACTCCCTCCGTCCTGCTAAAATTGTCTCATTTTACCATTTCGGTCCGTCCCACTAAGATTGTCCCTTAACAAATTTGGCAAAGTTTGTGTGGCTCTAAATCATTCTTACTTTATTCTTACTTTATCAATTCAATATCAACCACATAACCACTTTTTATTAGTTTGCGTGCCACTTCCTCTTGTCCCATTGTTAGTGGGACGGAAGGAGTACTATTGGCTTCTCCTTAGACATGAATATGACTGATTTTTAATTTGGACAAAGGACTAATTTTATTTGAACCGACAGAACTGGAACTACCCCTGATATATATAGAACAACAGTAAAACCCTAAAACCCTAAAATCATTTTGTGTTGTCCCGCCTCTAGCGTTCTGAGGTGTCGCCTGCCTAGCCATCCGAGATCTAAGCGCTGCCGCAACCCAATCGGCACCGCCAACAATCACCTCAACCACGCTTCTACTCTAACCATCCCTGCCGCATGCCATCCCTGCATTCTTCTTCTATTTCTTTGTTCGGTGATTGGGGATGGAATCGGTAAGATGACAACTGTGTGCTAGGTCGCCGTTGATGTTGAACGTGAGGGAGGAGCGGGGTCTTTCCATAGGAACGATGCAACGTAGGACTACGGTTTCGGTCGGACCGTTGGGGAAGGGAGTCGATGAAGGGGCAGGGAATGCCGTGGTGGTCGAAACGTTGATGGGGGGTATTGGGACGGGAGAGGGGGGAAGGGGCTGGAGAGCTAGGGAGGGGGGGTAGGAGCTGGGGGAGAGGTCTGGCAAGCTGGAGAGGGGGGCCAGGGGCAGAAGGCGGTGTCACCCACTAGGGTGATGGTTGCAGTGCCGGAGGCGGTGGGGTGGCAGGGTGCTCGTGGTTTGGCGGAGATAAGATGAAAGATAAGATGAAAATTAAGTCACTGTGCAAAAAAATAAGTAATTGGGAGGTGAGGTAACTGTCATTGTGCCGGTGAAGTAACTGTGACTAGTCGGTGGTGGCCGGCGGTGGTTGCAGGCTGGCATGTCACTGTGGTCAGCGACAGGGTTGGTCTGTGACCAGCAATGGTCACTGCCTGGGTGCTGCCCGAATGGTCACTGGGATAGTGGTCACTGACTGAGGTCACTGTGGCATTACACTAGAATTAGTCAATGGATTATATTAGTATAAGGGTATAAATGGTGATAGAGAGCATAGAGCAGAGCACGGAGAGCAGGGGCCTTACGTAAGAGGAGGGTCCGAGCCCACCTTTGTGGGCTGGTTGTGGGCTGGGGTGTTAGTTTGGACCTGTTATTAGTAGAGTATTTAGTAGAGTTAATTTGGGCTCGATTAGGGTTTCTATTGAGTCTGTTACTTAAAGGGTATTACCCCTTGTTAGGATTCATTCTTGCTCATCAGTTAATAAAACTGGATTTCAGCCTTTTGGCTCTGGGCAACAGTTTCTACCGTTGACTATTCTGGGCATCGATTTATTTCGTTGATTTTTATTTTCTGTTCTCATCGATTGGTCCGACCTGCCGGATCACGTCCCGCTGGAATGACGAGATCTCACAGCGATTGCTTGACAGAGATGGGGGTCGAGCAAACCTGGATGAACCAGACATTGGAGGAGCACAGCCTCCAATTAGCCGAGGTCACCACTTCACTAGCAGCGCTCACCAAGGCAATCGTACCACCGACCTCGATGGAAAATCCGTCGGCCATCGTCTCCAACGCCGCGGATTCGACCACAACGGCGAAGGACATCCGCACAGCTCCATATCCACCTTGCTACCATCGTTCGAGGAAGAGGACCCGATCGAGCGGATGGCTAGGGTTGAGCAACAGTTTGAATTAAATGGACCCCACCGGAGAGAAAAGTGGCAACTGCTATGGTTGCCATGGAAGGGGTTGGCCTTTATTGGGTGACCTGGCTGAGAGCGCGCAAACCAGGGAAGAATTCGCACAAGCATTGGTGGCTAGGTTCGACTCCCAATTCAAGGGCAGCAGGTTCGAACGGCTGTCGAAGTCAAACAAATCGGTACAGTAGAAGAATACAACACTCATTTGTTCAATTGGCCAGTCAGGTTCCCGGACTGTCCGGTGATCATTACTTGGGTTATTTCATGAACGGACTGAAGGTACCGATTCATGGATCCTTACGGTTGCTGCTGCCAAACAGCTTGGAGATAGCAATGGAATTGGCGAGATATATTGAGGACAATCTGTCCTTTCAAGATGGAGATATGGAAAGCCAACCCTACAATACGGAATTGCGTTCGGGCAATTTTTCGCGTCTAAGTCGGGGATACAGCACGGCCATGAGTGGTGACAGCATAAGGGGATCGAGTGGCAGGTTTCCTACAGATATTGGGCAACCCCTAGGGACAAATTCAAGGTTGTCCGGGCAGTCTACGGCACGCTCTAGGTTCACTCGACTTCCGCCGAAGGTGTTAGAAGAATTGTGGGCAAAAGGATTATGCTTTCAGTGTAAGAAACCATTTACACCAGGGCATGACTGCCGTTACGAGTAACGATAGCTGAGGAGGATGAAGCGTTGGACCTCCAATAGCATGATTATTGTGAAATAACCGGCTAGAAAGAGGTTCAAAAAGGCCAGAGAGGTTCGGAAGGAGATGAGGGATATTTTCTCCTCTATTCTATGACTGGAATTTTTAGCCCCCAAACTTTGAGACTCCGAGGAGTGGTAGCGGGATGCACGAAGACCATTCTGATAGACAATGGCGCAAGCCACAACTTTATTTCATCATCTTTGGTTTCCTTATTACGATTGCAGTCAGACAAGACATGCAGATGACATGCAAATTTGGGGTGCAACTGGGAGATGGGCATAGACAAAAGTTGGAGGGTGTGTGTAAACAGCTTCCTAAGCACATTGCCAGGGTGTGCTGTTGAGGCAGATTGCTATGTGTTTGCCTTGGGCAGGATTGACATCATTTTGGGAGTAGCTTGATTGGTCACGTTGCGAGAAGTACGGACCAATTAGAAAACATTGACTATGAATTTTGAGTGGGGTGGTAGTCAAGTCGAGTTAAGGGGTGACCCGGTGATTAATAACGAGAGGTGTGCTTTTGAGTGTCTCAAGGATGATGCTACTTGGATGAGTAAAGAAAGTTCTATGACCCAGTTTTCAGATTTCAACCTTAAGAACAAGGTTATTTTGAAAGAGGATGGATTGATAGAGAGCGGGGAGAGCAGGGGGGCTGTACAGAAGAGGAGGGTCCGAGATCCAGGCCTTTATCGATTTTCTGCAGGCGGGAACGGGCTTGAGCCCACCTTTATGGGCTAGTTGTGGGCTTCGGTTTTACTTTTAATATTATAAAGTTTATGTTATGTTTTCTAGTTTGGGCCTGTTATCAGTAGAGTATTTAGTAGAGTTAATTTGGGCCTAAATGAGGTTTACTTAATTTGGACTCGATTAGGGTTTCTTCTGAGTCTGTTACTAGAAGGGTATTTATACCCCTTGTTAGAATTCATTCTTGGTCATGAGTTAATAGAATTGGATTTTAGCTCTGGGCAACGATTTCTACCGTTGATTATTCTGGGCAAGGATTTATTTCATTTGTTTTTATTTTCCGTTCTCATCAAATGGTCTCTTAGTCTATTTTTAGTATCATTTTTGGAAACTAAAAAAAAGGTCACTTTTTTGTCCATAACTCTTTTTTAGTAATATTTTTTACATAACCCCTTGTTTTATTTATGTTTAGTTCCGAACTTGGATAACATGAGCGAAATCATATATGATTAGGACTTTACAAGATTTACAATCCTCATACAGAAAATATAAATAAAAATATAATATATTTATTCAATTTGAACCAACTTTTCATCACCCACCTGTTTTTCTCTTCCAAATTTCCCATCTATGTCCTTCGTTACTTTCTTTCCTTGGCATCTTCCAGTGTATCCTAAGTTTGTGATAGGGAGTGTATCCTAAGTTTGTGATAGGGATACAGCTGTACTTAATAAAGAAGATAAATACTATGGCCGAGTATAATGTAGAAGGAATACATAGACTAATTAGTTAATAGCTAACAACAGAATTTAACTATCAACTAATTAGTCTATTTATTCCTTCTACAATATACTCGGCCATAGTATTTATCTTCTTTATTAAGTACAGTTGTATCCCTATTAATACTCCCCCCTTAAACATCCACCTTGCCCTCAAGGTGGATGATAGGAAACAGCAAGATCTTCTGCTTCTTCTTCTTCCTTGCGCCTCTTCCTTCCAAATATCTAACTGGTTGATGGACTAGGGACTTCAGTACGAGATCATTTAAAATCACAGAACTTTCAGCAGTAGAAGAAATGCCAATATGATCTTAATGAGGTGCGGGGCTTTGCATCTGAAATTCGTTGGGCTTCCCTTTTCCGGGTCCTGTGTCCCGGCGTTTTTGTGCAATAAACCCCTCCGGCCGAAGACTAGTGGTAGGTGGTCCTGCGGAGCTTTCGGAAAAGGGTAGCCTAGTGTGTAAGCACAGCAATGAACCGCGGCAAACCCTCAGACGACCTACTGAAATTACTACTGTACTGGATGCAAACTTTTTTCTTTACCTTTCAACCTCTCCCTCTTTAAATTCTTTGCCTACCTCATTTGAGAAGGAAAACCTCATTAGCAAGCAAGTAATGAGATGCATAATTCCAGCTGCAGTTCTCATAACTAAAGAACAGGAAAGCTTATCTCTCATGTAAAACTTCCAAAGTTGGTTTTCTTGCAGATAAGCAGATTCTTCACCAGAAGAAAACATTGCCATTTTCAAGCCTTGTTTCAATTTCACCTGTTCATTGGCTTCAGTATATTGTCCCACATGAACTCCCACTGTTTTCTTATTGATAGAATTTGTAATTCTGAGTTCTCTGGACAAAGGACCAACCCATAAGTGAGTAGGTGAATCAAGGGTACAAGGACCTTTTCCATTCCGAGGTATGAGAGCAAAGGAAGCAATTGAACCACTCTTATCTTTGCATACAACAGTCCCAAGTATATTCTTTATATTTTCCATACCTTCCGGATTTTCTTGTGGATAACTCCTAGGTTGCATAATACCATAACTTTGAAGACCTGTTGAAGATAAGATGCGGGAGTCGCGCCTGCGGTGGTTTGGTCATGTGCATAGAAGACCGCATGATGCACCTGTCAGACGAGTTGAGATGTGTGGAGAAGAGGCAGGAAAGAGAGGGAGAGGAAGGCCCAAACAGACGTGGGTTAGAGGAGTCAGAAATGATATGCTTCTTCTTGGATTGGATGAGGGTATGGCGTTGGAGAGAGCAAAGTAGAGGGCGGAGATTCGTGTGGAGGAGTGATCTTGTATCATCTTTTCCCCCTTTTTTTCTTATTTCTTATCCTTTTATCCTTATATATAAATATTATTTCTATCCTTTTTATTTTATCTTTTATATGTATATTCATCTCTTTTATACTTCCTCCGTTCTTTAAATCTTGCAACATTGTGATTTTTGCACTATTCACAAACCTTACTTTGACCACAATTTTCTACTAATTTACATAATCAAATTATTACGTATAAAATGTCATTGAATTCCTATCAATGTGAATTTCTCAAATATCAACTTTTTATAATGTTTACTAATATATAATTAAATATAATTACAGTCAAAGTTGTGCATTGGCAAACGTGAAAGTCAATCTATTGCAAGAATTAAAGAACGGAGGATAGTATTATCTTTTTATAATAGCTTATCTTTTTTTTATCTTTATTTTCTTTCTTTTCCTTTTGGTGATATCATGTATCGATTCATGTTAGCCGACCCCAATATCTTTTGGAACTAAGGCTTGGATGTTGTTGTTGTTGGGCTGGTTGTGAATTTGAGCAGACGGTCCAGGGCCCAATACAGATGCAGTATTTGACGAGGCTGGACTTCTGCGAGTAGCAAGTGCGACCGGCTCCCCTATAGCAGTAGTCTTAGCAGTCACCACAGAAACAGAACTGTCTAGGACTTCCTCCCACCGTAAAGTTGCTTTGAAGCCTGTGAGCAGAGTGCAGATGTTGCCGAAGCTGTTGTCTCCACGCGTTCGAATAGAGTTTGTAAAGGATTCAAACTCAGGGGAGTCCCTCCAAGGCTTGAATGATGAAGTCCTCGTCATAGAGTTTGTAAAGGATTCATGTTAGCCGACCCCAATATCTTTTGGAACTAAGGCTTGGATGTTGTTGTTGTTGGGCTGGTTGTGAATTTGAGCAGACGGTCCAGGGCCCAATACAGATGCAGTATTTGACGAGGCTGGACTTCTGCGAGTAGCAAGTGCGACCGGCTCCCCTATAGCAGTAGTCTTAGCGGTCACCACAGAAACAGAACTGTCTAGGACTTCCTCCCACCGTAAAGTTGCTTTGAAGCCTGTGAGCAGAGTGCAGATGTTGCCGAAGCTGTTGTCTCCACGCGTTCGAATAGAGTTTGTAAAGGATTCAAACTCAGGGGAGTCCCTCCAAGGCTTGAATGATGAAGTCCTCGTCATCTACAAGGCGGGCGGGCGGGCAGAGTTAGTTCGTCGGCGAGGGTGCGGAGGTGATGGAGATACTCTCCCACCGGCTTAGATCCATGTTGAGTGTGGCGAAAGAGCTCGTGTGGCTCTGATACCATAAGAGACAAGAGAGAAATGGATATTTTGAATTTATTTTTGTTTGTCTAAATGGTTTACAATAGCTGCTATTTATACATGTACTAATCACGTATATAAGGTAAGTAATAATACTATATTAAATAGCAGAGATATGTAACAGCTAATTATAATATTATGTCTTAAATGCAAATTATTTCTTTCCTTCAATAAAGAGAAGATCATTATATGGGGCTGTGTTTGGTTGTTTTGACCAACTGTAAATGTTTGACTAGTAAAATCAGCTAAACAAAATGTTTGGTAAATGAGTTTTGAATCATCTTGCTGGGCCAAAGAAACTAAAAAGCAGTCCTAGCATTTGTGATGTTTGATGCCTGCATCTTGTTTTCCAATTAGAACCTCCCGTAGTGTTTCACCACCAGCTAGCTGATATCAGCTATATAATTACCTAAGTACCTAACAAAGCCATAGTAAAGAAGTATGAGGTAGTTTGGGACATACACTCATAAAGGCAATATCTTCGTCATTTTCCGGCCTTTGTACATCAGAGGGAGACGGATAAGAAAATCTACTTGTTGTCATGTGCTGCAAATGTAGGTCACTCCAAGCAGCATTGAAAACCAAAGGAGATGGATTATGCAACCCTCCATTGACAGATGCAACTAACTCCCGGTTGGCTCGTATGATAGGAGTATTTAATTCCTTTGCACCCTTTTCAATCTCAAGCATCTAAAAGGTAGGAAACCAAAAAAATCTCAAACCTCCACTGTAAGGACTTTGTTATGTTAAGAGACTGAAAAAAGGTTGCATTGTCTCTGATTCACACAGTCACACACTTACGGGGCTGTGCCCAGAATGAGGAAAGTATGCGAGGAAAGAAAAAATATACTACTTATATGAGAGTAGAAGTAGAAGCTTATGATTTTCCGTTGTTTGGGAAGAACATAGAAGAGGAAGGAATGGAAAATTATGTTATTTTCCTCTTCTAGTTCTCACTCTAAATAGGAAAGGAAATGTGATATTTATACTGGGAAAAAATAACTTCTCACAAATACTTCATCTAGCTCACATTAAGCGTGGTTTTTCGAGCAAAATATGTGAGGCCCTTAAAGAAAATATGAGAAAGATAGCATTTGGTTTTTGAGCTTTATAAGTGACTCTCATTGTGGGAATACTAATTTCTTCCTAAGTGACAATACATTTATAAACTTGTTAATTAGATATGAATATGCCTCAATATGTTCCACAAGAAAATTCTTTTTTGGCGAAATGTCATGTTTCCAGTGACAATTATTGTGAGAGTAAAAAAATTAAATATCTGACTTGTTATTTTTGGAAGGACATAATTTTACTATGTTGTGATTTACTATTTTATACTATGTATACTTTTTCTGTGAATTAACAAATATTAGATCATAATGTGAAATTAATCATCTTCATTAAACTCGTAATGAGATACTCCCTCCGTCCCTCCATTTTTGTCCTACTTTCCCTTTTTCGTCCGTCCCACTAAATTTGTCGCATACCATATTTGGTAATATTTTGGTGATTACAATTCATCCTTATTTTATTCACTTTATCAATTTAATACAAACTACACAACTTCACTTTTCTTAATAACCGCACCACTCCCTTTTGTCCCAATGTTAGGGGGACGAAGGTAGTATTTCTGTATTTGTTAGTTTCACAGAATAAGTACTATCTCCTTCTCACTATCTTTGGAACATGAGGAAGTGGTACAAATATTAATGAAGGTGTAGATATGTGTTTTATATTGAATTGATAAAGTATGAATGAATTTGAAAGACACAAATACTACAAGATGTAGGAGCATGGACAAAACTTAGTTGAATGAAAAATGAAAGACAGGACAAAGATAGTGATTCTAGCAACTTGCATGTAAGATCTCATCACGAGCAAGTGGGAGGGAAGACTGGGATTTCGAAGGCTTGGTTATGGTGGGGCATACAGGGAAGAACAAGAAGTATGCAAATCTAGATAGCAATAGAAGGAATTTTTTATTGAAAAACTGCATGCTCCTTGTGACTTTTCTTGCTTCGAACTTGCAAATAAAGAAATCAAGCAAAAAGGAATTATGCCATTTATCTTCAAGATGTGTGTGAATAGTCTGTGCGATTAGTAAATTGCAACATAATAAATCTCTTCTCTCCAAAATTAACAAGTCAAATATTAATTCTTTTCTCCCATCCTATTTTTCTTCAAATTCAATCACATCACATGATAGGAAACTAATGAAAGCTCCATCTTCAATAGAGAAAGTTCCAAATGCAGTCTTGTAGAAACGAATAAATACCTTTTTGTCACTAAAGAAGCAAGAGTCCAATAATGCAAACCCACATTCGCAAGCTGAAACGTTGTTTTCCCTCTCCAAACATTCACCTTTATTTCTAGGATCCATCTTCCCGCTGTCCTTATGCAAGACAAAATTATGTGAATAGAGGAAAGATAAAACAGCAAAGAAGTGTCTTTTTAAGCATTCCAAGCCTTACCTAGTAGAACTAAGGGTCCGGGACTGAGCCCGAGCATGTTGGTATGATATATTCCAGACATTTTTGCATGTATTTCCCTGCTTCACAAATAATAGATAAGGAAAATCCACAAATCTTAGGACGAAATGGAAATATAACAGCAGAGGATTGAATGGCTGGTTGATGATATGCTCTTCCAAATTTATTTTGTTTGGTACTTTGGTACGAAGGCTCCATCATTTCCAATGGAGCCTAAGACTCACTATTTTTTGACTTGGGAATATGATGGAATATAGCAAAATGGCTCACATTTATGACTCACATTTCCTTCTTTTCCTTTTAGCGGTGATATCATGTATTGATTCATGTTAACCGACCCCAATATCTTTTGGGATTAAGGCTTGGATGTTGTTGTTGTAGTATAGCAAAAGTTTCATATTAATAAAACAATCGTCCAGAAGTTAAATTTGATCCCTGCAACAAATGGAGTAGGGGATAGATGAAGTGGAGATAAATGACCCTTCCACCCTTAAACATTAGACAATGTTTCATTTAATTGATTAAAAAGTCATTAATACCCATTAAATTTAAGCTAAATTCCTGATTTAGATTACTTATCCCACTAAACCAGCTCTTAAGATAATTTAGAACAATATACAAATAATTTAACTGCAGAAAGTTAGTACAGACTCAAAATTGAACTATAATAGGGCTCTCTAAATACTGCATCTATGTAAGTTGGTCATTAAAGCTTTGTTTAGTAAAACAGCTGATAAGTGACAGGATAGTTAATTAGTAAGTATTAACGTTTAATTGATAGCTCATAATTAATAAATTAGTTGATTTCAGAAAGTATATAGTATCTGGTGCATTAGGCTTATTATAAGCCAATAAGCTAGCTCTAAAATACAAAATAACAAAATAGGATATGCTAAAAATAGTTCTATATAATACGAGACTAAAAATGGAAAAACTCATGTAACTTAATTGAACAAAGAATCTTGTTAAATAAGTTCGCCTACCACATGCAAGAGCAGATGTATACTACGTATTTAGTCAATTAGTTGGTTGAATCTCAGGGCAACCAATTTTTTTCTTAATTCTTATAGTGTAAACTTTTCCATTTTTACCATTTAACCCACCCTCACTATTATTTAAGTCTAGTTTTTGAATCCACCCCTGACCATAAGCTAATTTATGGCGTGTCAAACATAGCTTGGGTTTTCGTAGGGTGTATGCTTGAGCATTGTAAAATAAATGATTAAGTTATTTACTAAAAAAACAATGCTGGGTGACCTAAAACCGACGCTCAGTTACATACTAAAATCATGTACCTTTTGACAATAATAATAGAAAAAAATTAAATCCCTAATGTCAGTGATCTGTGAAAATAGGAGTTTTACATTTTTCCCACAATCACGTAACATTTTGCTATAGTTAAGGGAGTATTCCCGAAATATGAGTAAAAACATTTTGGAACTAAAAAATATGTCATGTTTAATTTAATTTAAAGTCTGGTAATACTAGAGTAACTACTCCTATTTAAGAAATAAAAAACACAAGGGAAAATGGAAACTAATAATCCAACCTTTTAGCGGTCTTCTTTTAATAATCCGACCTTTTCATTATTCATGAATAATCCAACCTTTGCACCTCATCTTCATTCATGGGTCCCCGACCGGTTGATGACCTGCTATTCCGAGTTATTTTCTTATCTCTGCAAACTATTATATCATAAATTCCACCTTTCACAAAGATAATATTTTGCAAAGATAAGAAAATAACTTGGAATAGCAGGTCATCAACCGGTCAGGGACCAATGAATGAAGATGAGGTGCAAATGTTGGATTATTCATGAATAACGAAAAGGTGGGACTATTAAAAGAAGACCGCTAAAAGGTTGGATTATTAGTTTCCATTTTCCCAAAACATAATAGTCCTAGTTTATTACTACGTGTGTTACTATTACCATTTTATAAAATCTTGAATATATATTACTTCCTCCGTTTCCTAAAAGTGGCAACATTAGGATTTTTGCACTATTCACACACCTTACTTTGACCATGATTTTCTACTAATATCTATAATCAAATTATTATGTATAAAATTTTATTAAAGTTCTATTCATGTGAAATTTCAAAATATTAATTTTTTATGATTTTTACTAATTCGTAATTAAATATAATTTCAGTCAAAGTTGTGCGTTGGCAAACGTGAAAGTCAAACGGTTGCAACTTGCAACTATTAAAGAAGGGAGGATAGTATATAAAAGATGTACACTCAGAGTCTTTAGGTAATGATAAGTAGGGCAGGTGAAATTCATTTGTAAATGAGTTCTTAAAGTGGAGAGTTGGCAAAATGAAGAGTTGAGCTAAATTAGACATTTTAGAACAAAGGTAAAATTTTAATTGAAAATCTGGTTTTCTATTGGAATATGGCTTTAGTTGTGTCCGAATTCCAAATGAATTCCACAATGCCATTTTAAACTCCACGCGTGGAAGTCTATATTTGCAAAGAAATTCTGCAATCTTTGGGTGAACAGAAATTGTCATGAATAGTAGTTACCAGAGGACCCATGGCTAATGCAATAGCATAGCAACTGAAAGACTCTTGAATTTTGAATACACAGATAGAAAGGATTGAATCGGACATAAATGATGCGGTTGAGAACAGAATCCACGGGGAGGCAAAACTTACCATTTTGGTTTCCGATGGAGCAGAGCAGACGGTGAAGCACAGGAGTAGTAAGATGACGACGGCCGGTAACACGGACGTGCGATGTAGGAATAGCAATAATCGACGTGTACAGCTCTGCGGCTTCCTGTCAAACATATTGAATTCAGCGTTTGCCACGTTTGTACAGCTCTGCGGCTTCCTGTCAAACATATCTCTACAATATTTACAAATTTATTTACAAATATTGTCAGGGGTTAAACAGTGATAAAAAATGTTGGTGTCTCTGGTGCATAATCTTACTGTATTTTATGTTTACTTTGTTGTACATTGCTGACCTGCTCGCGGCTTTAACGTTATAACCTTACGGAGGAAAGTCCACACTCTTTTATATGTACTCTATTTCATTTATTTCCTTGAACCCCTTACCGTTTCAGCTCCTCTCTTCCGTTTTAGCCGCTTAGAATTCTTGACTTGGTAGAATCGGTGTAATGGCTTCACCACCCTACTTACTGTATGTACTGCTTGAGGTTGATTTTTGGAAGTTTGGTCCCCTGCTCTGGAAAGGTCATGGAGGATTTGTATGCTCATGATGGATCTTGATATGGATTTGTGACGGTCTGATGGAGTCCTACCTCACTGAAGCAGATGCTCGCCGGAAATGTCCTTTTTCTTCGACAGATCTGGATTTCGAAGGTGAATTGAAAGCCGATGGTGTGCGTGGATCTCTCCTAAGATTGAGGGGACCTTCACCCAACGATTTAAGGTTGGTCTGAATCTGGGCTATCTTTGGGCCTTCTCTCCTCCATTTCTTTGCTGGACTGGCCTGTGTCTTCTTTAACTAGACTCTTAAAAGAGCATCCTCTACTCTTTATCTCTACTCTATTTCATTTGTTTGGTTGAAAACCCTTACACACAATCTCTCATTTATTGTGTGAAAGAGTCTAGCTTTAAGATTGACTTTATGCCAATCAACCAGAGATGGGTTCAACACTTCAATTCGTGTGAACATATTGAAACTGAGTTGAAACTAGCACTAACAGGTCAGGTCACGCCTCTTTCCAAGTAACGATATCTATCTTGTTATTGTTTTTTTTTTAAATCTTTTGCATTTGGATATTAGAATTAGGTGGTCATGTGATGAGACAAATTCAAATTGCATAGGTGATGGAAGCCCCCAAAATTCAGATTGCAGAAATTCTGGTCTCCACTAACACTAGCATCGATAGTCATAGGGAGAAAAAACCCTTATTTCCTAAGAAAGGGCAGACCTTGGAGCTGGTTTGTACTTTTATTGATCAAATTTGGTGTTCTTTTTTATGTATAAAGAACCTTGTTATAATTTAACATCTCTTGTTCCATTATGTAAATGTAGATATTATGATCAAATTTGGTGTTCTTTTTATGTTTTGACATTAGTAACATAATTAGTAATTGACAATTTGACATATTATTTGCTGAGTTCACGTGAGCAAAAATAAACCAACTTTAGATTCATTAGCTTCTTTAGTATTTTTGGGGCATCTCCATCTCCTTTTTTTGAATTTATCTCCTGATTATCCTTATAAGTACTTCTATTCATATTTTTCTATAACTTTTTTGAATTGGTTCTATATCTTTAGTCTCATCCTTTTTAACCCCCTACCCACCAACAATGTTCTAAAATATGCCGTTCATGCTTACGAGTGATGTTTACGTTTAACAAGTGTGCTCAAATTTGAAATAATATAATGAGTGAAAACATTTAAAAGTATGAATAGTTGAACTTATATGTTTAGGAAAGTGATATATTTAACAGATTTGCTAAAACATTTAAATTATATTACCGCTTCAAGTAAACTTCTTGAATAAACTTATGCATACATGTATATTTCTATTAAGGTGTTAGTTTTCTATTAGCTATTGCTTGATAGAGTTGCTTTTAGTAGATATTGTACTTCAGGCAACCAAAAACATGTCCACAAAACACATCTTTGTAAATGTAAAAGTCTCATTTAGTGCTTCTATATTAAATATCAATAACATCCTTGAACTGCTTATATACAGTGTCTATATTTAATTATTTATTACAATATTCTGATTTGGTAAAACTGCTTATCCCGCTAATCATTGATTTAGGTATCCTCATCTCAATCAACTTTTACTTAATGAATTGATTTGTTGAAAGTCGTCATGCATAAAATTAAAACTGAGATTGCCGAGAGACCACAAAATGCAAGCAAGACAAATAACGAAGTCCATATTGTTGTCAATTTTCAATCGTTTTTTGTTTGGACTAAATGGATGGGTATCTATCCTAAAGTAAATACTTTATTGTTTATCATTGCTTATCAGTAAATAAGAAACTACGTATTCAAATATTGTATTCGTATATTCGTTCAACACTTCAACCTAAATTGATGAATTAGTGTCCTACAATGGCCTTGGGCATTACCACGAACGCGCAACGCGCGTTACTAAACTAGTTGAATTATAAGCGTTTAGACTATAAACCAGACGATTAAGTCTTTATAAACTGAGCTTTTGGTAAAACATATAGTTTCTATGAACCAAGAATCTACTATGGTAAATCAGGGGCTTAATGGTCTTGTCTCACCCCCACCATTCCTCGCGCTAATGGTGCGCCTTTCGGCCGTGCGCATGCCTGGTTTTTTTGAATGCTCCAAAAGCGTTGTCAATGCTTCATGGAGGCGGCCCCACTTCACACTCATATAGGTGATCTTATCAAGTGTGTCCCGCACTTAACACACCACCCATAAGGGCTATGATAATCATTAAGAGTTTTAGCTCATCCTCACAAAGGAATGCAGTCTAACCTCACCCTAGAAATGAACATTCAAAATAGGCTAGCAGATCAAATAAAAGACTTGTTATTACCCATATGAACTTAGTTCATGGGATCTCCAATCACACAGGTCGAGTTACCGTCCCTATTTGTTATCAAGTGACAATTCATTTCCCTCGGTGTATAAAATAATCATCTCATTAACGTCCTAGCTAGGATTACAACTTTATCAAAGGAGTGGCCAACTCCTTCTGATTTCACATTATTAATGGAAATAAATTCATTCTTCAACATCATTGCACCACTGGGTGAATGGATATCCACTATTTTATTTTATCTCATATGAGTCGACTCATGTATCATCATTGTATCCCGGCAATACAACGGATAACTATCAATAAGACATGACAACACTTGCTTCGCCATCTTCAATCGAACCGCCCATGTCTTTGGACCGGCAAAAAGTTGAGCCAGTTGCTCGTCGGAAATCACATCTCTCCGTTGATAATCCGTATCAAAACCATCCCGGTTTTGAGAAGAAGATCGGGCATGTCTTTACCTTTGCCTCGGCTTTGAGGATGTCCTTTCGCAATCTCCTTCTTTCTGTTGCGTTGGAGATTACCCAAATCTACAGAATGTCTAGGTTGCGACATCTTTAAATGTAACAAATACTAAATTCTAACAAATATTTAAATGTGTGTACAATTGAAATGAAACTAATATTGAAATGTAACTAAAATGTGAGTTTAATATTAAATTGCGAGTTTAATATTAAAATGTAACTGATATAAAAATGTAACTAAAATGTGAGTTTAACCTTAAAATGTGGGTTCAATATTAAAATATAACTAATATGATAATGTAACTAAAATGTGACTTTAATATCAAAATGTAACTAATATGATAATGTAACTAAAATGTGAGTTTAATATTATAGTGTAACTAATATTAAAATGTTACTAAAATGCGAGTTTAATATTAAAATGTAACTAAAATTAAAATGTAACTAATATGAGAACAATGTAATATGGGAATGTAAGAAATATTAAAATGTCACTAAAATTTAAATGCAACTAACATTCAAATATGAGAAAATTTTATATGATAATGTGACAAGTATAGTAAATGCAATTAATATGTGAGTATAGTAAATGCAATTTAAATGCAACTACTATTATAATGTAACTAAAATGCAAACATTGTAAAAAGATAGTGTAAGAAATATTTAAATGTGACTGATATTTAAATGCAACTAATATTGAACTAATATTAAAATCTAACAAATATGATTAATTATTAATATGATAATGTAACAAGTATAGTAAACGAGAGTATAGTAAATGCAATTTCAATGCAACTACTATTAACAATTTAAAATTAACTAAAATGAGAATAATGTAAAATGAGAATGTAAGAAATATTTAAGTATGAATAATGTAAAATGAGAATGTAAATATGAAAATGTAACCTATAGGAAAATATACTTAACATATATAATTTATAATATAAACATATTTCGTAACTAATAGGATAAATGACATTTAAAATTTATGAACTATAACTCTCTCTAGGTCTGGCTCTCGGCGCCGCTAGGGTAGCTTCATGTTGTTTCCGTCTTCGGCTCGAACGAAGTACGGCAGACGGCGACGGCCATCGTGGAGAACGAAGATTGATACGCAACAGAGTGTGCAGCGGACGGCAGCGGTGTCATGCTTCGGCGGGTCTTCTCGTCTGGTTCGAGTTAGGCTTTTGAACGAATGGAAGAGGTGGTGCATCAGTACAAAAGGATGGCCATAGGAGATGATAACAACAACCCAAATTTTGATGATGAGGAGGATGGAGACCTTGATCCAACAACAAAGGGGGCTGAATTTCCGGTGGTGGGAGTGATTCTCACGGATCGGAAGATCGGGTTTCAGACCATGAAGGATCTTTTTTATTCAATCTGGCGATCAGGCAAACAAATGTCAGTTGAAGAGATAGGCGATAAGAGGTATTTGTATACTTTTTATCATATAGTGGATATGAATCGTGTTCTGGAAGATGGTCCTTGGTTGTTTGAGAGGAATTTATTACTGCTTAAGGTATTCCCCATAGGATGAATTTGTTTGAAACAGAGTTCTGGGTGCAAGTGCACAATGTTCCCTATAGTTTTATGAATATAGGTACCGCTAGAAGGGTGGGAAACTATATTGAGGGGTGTTGATGTTAATTCCTTCAACCCTTGGGCCCAACACGTAAGCCCAAAAGGTCTCGAGTGGAAGAGGTGTAGGAGTGTGTGAATATTTAGCCCAGCAACTATCAGACGGATCAGGAAACAGAGGAAATAGCAGGCAATGTAAATAGGTATTATTAACTTCGTAATAACTCCCCTAAATACAATCTACTTGCTAAAAAAGGCACGTCGGCCGTTCGTC